GATGGCATCTAAGTTAGTAGTGAAACTATTGCATCTCATGATGCTGCACAATTAACCTCAGCCCTCGACCACTTGGATAAAAATGGCGTTGCAGATATCTAATATTTAGCAATCCATTTCAGCTTAACTTACTTCAGAATGGGTGGCTCATGGCTGTGCCAACTGTTGTAGCTGATGAACAACATGAGACATTCTTGGGCGCATTGATGGCACATGCTGCGTGCAAGCATATACAAGGTCCACAACCTTCTGAATGACTCCAGCTTCTGGAACATCCGAGGAGGGTGGGGTTATAAGAGGATCCAAGAGCTCAGGGTAGCGGTGCGCCTGCACCAGAGGAGTGGCCCACTCAAATATACTCTGCCAGCCCACCGAATCAACTGCTTGCATAGGCCTACGCCCAGTGACTATTTCAAGAAGCAGCACCCCAAAGCTGTAGACATCACTCTTTGTAGTAAGTTCATTTCTGTAAACAAATTCTGGAGCAAGGTACCCATATGTGCCACCTGCCATCATTGTTCTCTCATGCATCACTTCCCATGGCATAAACTTGGAAAGACCAACCCCCATTAAATGGGCTCCGAACTCTTCATCCAGCAGAACACTACTAGCACGAATATCCCGATGCACAACATGAGGCTTAACCTTGTCATGCAAGAACCTATTCAAAATATGTCCACATGCACAGGTGAGCCAACCGGATGAGAAACAGATTATAGCAAATATACCACCGGATAGACCAAAAATTCCTGAAAAGAGAACCAATCTATGGAATGCACAAAAATTATTGATACCCATTAACCTTCAGTGCACTTTATCAGCTATAGTAGCTTTTTTTTTGGGTAATAGATGCTGAGATATCTAAAATCACAATTGACAAACAACTAAGCACTTCAAAAAATGTGTTATGCTGTAATTGATTTAGATTGCATGTAATTTTAAAATGGATGTAATGAGAAAGCAAGCATAAGCACCTTCACAACAGAATGTAATCGTGTCATTAGCATTTAAGATGACATAAAGTTTATCCAAAAACATCTTTCTCCATTCTGTCGGTTGACTGCAAGTGCATTCAGGAATCAATTTTGATTCAATCAGCACTAATCATTAAGGAATGAAATCCCATTCCGCATGGTTTCCCCATGCAGTTAAACTTGGTACATAATCAGTGCAAACATAATGAAAAAAGTACAGGACATTTTAAAAAAGTCTTTCTCCATTTTCTTGTTTAACCCACAGTGAGTGAAGTATTAACCTATATTCAACTGATAATAATCTATAACAGGTGAAAGTTAGCATGTAAAT